AGAGTTTATTTGTTGTTTGAGAGATTCCAGGCTATCAGTCGTGGATATCATTGTCTGATCTAGCTTGTCTCGGAAGTTAGCAGAGGAACTTTCACTGCCCAGGAGTGCGCGCTGGGACCCTGAGAGCCCAGCGTGTGCTCACCTATATCTGGCGCCACAACGTGGAGCTTCTGAACCTCGTGCTATAACGTGGAGCTTCTGAACCTCATGCCACAACGTGGAGCTCCTGAACCTCGTACCACAACGTGGAACCTCTGAACCTCGTGCCAGCTAGGAGCTGGTGCCCCACAGAAATGCAAAGGATCCGTGAGTATCCCTCCTCCCCTTCAGGAGGGTAATCTAATCTCTTCATCTCTTCTAAATTTCCTCCTTTTCTTTTCCGGTCTAAAGTTCTTGCGAGGGACTGCTAAGGCCAGAGAAGCAACTGAGGTCTTCTGGCCAGGGCTACCCCCTGGTGTTGACCAAAGTTCTCTCTGATTTCCTAAGCAGACCCCCAATGCCTATACAGGTGTGGACAAAAGGACTCTATCTAGATATTCTTTTAATATTCAAACCTGGTGACACATTGGCGAGCTAAAAAAGTCATTAGGACGGCCGCCAGCCTCTTAAATATGCAGGAAGGTCTTGTGACTGGGAGCCACTGGGATCCCCTGAAATTTTAATTTCAGGAACGTCCCCTTGGAAAGTGCCACTTCACCCAACTTTTTCTATCTGAATACTGCTAGAGAAAAAATCCCTAAAGTTCTAAGCTTTAGAGTCAAGCAGATTTCTCTAAGTCAGCTCTGTTATCCTGCCTCAGAGCATTTGAGCCACACCTACACCGGTTCAGTGAAAATTCAAATTACTTAGTCCCTGCCGAACACCTAGGAATTCAGGGTGGTTCACGGCTAGACAAAAGATTTAAAGTAAACTTTTTTTCCTGTAGCCTAAGGGCCGGTAACCTGCAAAAGCGGCTTTTAGACCAAACATATAAAACAGGCAATTTTTTTTCTACAGTTTAAAACTCCTGCCTGTCAGAGCAGTGCCAAGTTACTGCAAAACATTTAACATCTTCTCTTTACAATGGGAAACTCAGAATCATGTCAAAAGAAAAGAAAAATTCGTTCCCTTAAAATCCTACTTAAAACCAGAGGATTAAAAATTTCTAAAGAGGAAAGCTTAAAATTTTGGAATGA